GATGGCAACAGTTAGTACTTGAATAACCCTCTTCCCTTTGTTTCTTACTTAAGGACAATAATAGGGAGTTTTAGAATAACGTAGGAGTTTTAGCGCACGTTAGCGCTGAATCTAGCGTTTGTGTTAGCGCACGCTGCGCAGGAGTGTTTTAGAATAGCGTTTCTCCGCCCGGACGAAAAAGCCCAAGCGTCTCCCGCTTGCAATGCCACAAACATACAGTAACACTTTTTTATTTCACACGAAAAATGCTGTAACATGAAAAAAAAAAGTTTATGGCTGAACAGTAAAAGTTTAGATTCGTTTAAATATAAGAATGCGACGGGAGCGGTCGAACGGTCGTGTCCGCTTGCGCCGCATTTGCAAGAGAGATCTCGTGAATAGTGACATTCGCACACCGCACTACCTTCGCCGAGAAACGTTCGCGCGTCGCAGGCAGCAAGTGGCCGGCGAGCGTTGCCCATTTTGCGGGGTCTTCCAAAACGCTTCCGACCTGCACCTCCCGTAGGACTGCAATGTCGTCCTGCGTTGAAGATCGCAGTTGAGAGGGTGGCGCCGACCTGGCGCTCACGACTCCTGCCGCAGCCGCCATTTTTTAACAGTGCTTGTCTTGGCTCTAGCCAAATTCTCACGACAAATCCGCCTTGGAGGAGCAGAAAGACTCTTCGCGTATGCACGCAATTTCTGAAAAATAACGTACGCTACACTAGCATACGCTAAAATAGCGCACGCAAAGCCTAAAACGTTGTTAGCGTTCGGCGCATGCGCAGTGGCGACGACGCTATTCTTTACTTACGCAAAGCTTTAGCGTGCGCTATTCTCAAACTCTCTAATATTGGATGTAACGCCACGAAAGTAGCGGATTACTTTTGGGGTAACGGTCACTTACTTTTATAGGAGGGTAATTGTGATTTTAATTAATTACAATTTAGCCTTGAGTAATTGCAAATGTTATTTCTTACTATTTTTCAGTCACGTGTACAAGTCCAGTCCCGCCCCTGTGTCGCCGCTTCAGAGTTACGCTGCTGAAACGCCGCGACAAGGTTGCCGTCGTCCTTCTGGGCGAGCGTCGCACCTTGCTCCGTCGGTGCCAGGGCGGCTTGCGGTGGTCCACTCTAGGCATGGTCCATGAAGTAGTCGGATTGGTCATCCGCCGTCCGGTCTCGGGCCATCAAAGTGTTGGTCTTAACGCTGTCTGCTGCGTCGGGGCCATATCGGTGGCAGTTGAAGCGTCGGGGGACATGGCGCACCCAACGAATGGGGCTCGTACGACGGCACCGAAGGTAGGGCGGAGCGCGGCCGGGCACCAGGACTAGGACCCTACATCCTTCGAGGCGCATCTTGTGGGGGAGGCTGTCTACAGTGTACCTTTCCCCGAGGGTCAGGCGTACACTGCGGGTGTTGGACTCGAGAGCCTCAAACCCCTTCTCCCGGAAAAGGTCCCTGGTAACCTTGGACACCTTGCCGTAGCGCTCCAGCTTCTTTTTCACCTGGCTGTTAGTTACGTCGTACGGGACGCAGTGAAGTTTGAGATTTACCGCCACATTCGCCGGGTCGATGACGAAACTCCCCCTCCCCCCCCCCCCCCCCCCCCTTCCTCTTTGATGGTCATCTGCTTTGCGCTCACTAACCTTTGCTTCGTCGCCGGTGAGTGCTTGCGCATCATCCACACGTGTTTGATTCGGTGTGGACCCTCGGACGCCGAGTCTCTCATAATTTCCAGACGCTGCAGTTCTTCGCGAAAACTGGCAATTCGATAAGGACGACCTTTAGCGTCGCAGTGCGAAAATACTGTCTTGGTATGCCTACAAATCCAGTGGTCAGCGAGGGCAGGAGGAGTTCATAATTCTCTCGGGTTGCAGAAACAGACGTGCCTCGGCCGGACATGGCCACTTTCATCACTCCTTCTGAGACCATGATAAACGCGTCCCTACGCCTCGGCGGTCGGAAGTGGAATTCAAAGCTACCGAGGAGGCAGGCAGTGCGCAAGAATGCACAATTTCCAGAATTGAAGTTTCGAATGTTTTTGCGTCAAGCTGCGTAGGCGTGGCTCAGGCGAGTGCGAAAGTTTCATCGAGCGACGAAGGAAGATATTTTAAGTTCCATTTAGCCACTGGGACCTAAATTGAGCTCTCGAAATAACTCTACCCATTTTTACTTATCTTTTGTCTTAAAGTTCGTTTAAGAAAGGTGTTTCCTCTCCCCCTCCTAATGGTGCCCTTTATGTGCACACGTTTTCTAACATGGAATTTTTTAACCATTCCTCTGACGCATGGATAGTCTAGCAAAAGGAAGGGATTAAGAAGATGTGTAGTTCGTCAGCCGGTGATTATAATCTAATAATGCACAGCACGAAAGTAAAGAGACTGAGTTCGCAGGCGAGTTGGTGGTAGGCAATCATGTCGTGGTGGCTAACGTGGTGATAGTTGATCATTAGACGTTTCCTTCTGTGTCCTTTTTCTTCTAATACATATTTTCCTTTTCTGAACAATAGTCTCAAGTGTTAAACGACAAGATACAGTGCTAAATGCATGCTTTCAAAACGGCAGAAAAATACGCAGTTTTGAAAGTCTGAAGTAGTGCGAAAAGTAATGTTTCCATTTTTCACCTAATGGCCAATCACCTTTTCCCTCGAGTAATTAACTTATCTAATTGAATGCTTTTCATCCAAGAGTAATTGTAATTGTGATCGATTAATTTCTGGAGTTACGTGTACAAGACTGCTCGAGATGAACCACAACAATGAGACGCGTGGAACTACGCCGAGTTCTGGCCGGGACAGATATCGCCACGGAGCGACGCGAGACGATGCAAGGTGATGCTGATTCTGGGCGAAGGGCGTGAGAAATGTCTCCATGGTCGCACCGTCATGGTGCTTGTCACGTTTCTGTACGTGTTCTGCCATCGCTGAAGCAATCGTAAACAGAAAAGGCGTAGTGACTTGGGCTTTTAACGCTGCTGGATTGGTCGTATTACCTAGTAGCGTCGGCTGCGTCTAGACTTAAAGACCGACGACCAGATCGCGCTTTCCACTTCTCCCCCCCCCCCTTCCTCCTCTCCCCCTCGTGATCTGTTTAGTGTTGCCTGTTTCCTCCGCCCCCATGGTGAGGAGGATCTTCTGCCTTGCAGAATCTCGAGTCTGGTCGTCGGCCTTTATTTAATTTGACCCTTTCATGGTCACTGACGTACCTGCATGTCAGCGCGGGAGCGTCCCGCATGGTTGCTGACGTACCGGTACGTCCGCGACTGCTCATTCAAAGATTCGCGCCTCTGCTTGAACGGGCGCGTTCGCGGGGACGTGCTGTCATCTGGTAGGTTTGTAGGGAACTACGACCATATAACTCCGGTGGTGTTTGTTTTGGCGCGGCTTTTTGAAATTGCGAAACTGGACGCTCTGTGCAGGTGTGCTGGCTGCTGCGGGGGTAGCGTAGTGGAGATTGGAGCGATGGCTCTTCGGGTTCAAACTTTGAACCCTTTTCGGACTCTGAGTCGGATGACAGCTCGACCTCCGAGGAACAACTGGAAACCAGCTGGGTTCAGAGTCCAGAGTCTGACACACAGCCCCACCGTCTGCTAGACCGTCTCGGAAGCAGGCGCGTGAAAGTTTTAGTCCTTTTTGTTTTGTTCAGCCTTCAGCGAGTGTGCGGCAGATGTTTTGAAGTGTGTGTACTATTTATTTGAAGCCTTTAATTTTTTTATGCGACAATAAACTGTTGTATACTCTTTGCTATCGCACCGAGTAAAAAAAAAACGACCACGGGGGCGCGTCTTTGGAGGAACAATGTGACCATGAAACAAAGTATAGCGATCACCAAGACGTGGCGCTAACCCAGACAGGAACCGCCAAGGGCCACAAATGGCCGGGCCTGGACGAAATGATAAGAAGACGACTAACTCGGACACATTCAAAGGCAGAACAACTTTGCGCAGAGGTCGCGGGTCAGTTTTTATTTTTAAATAACGTCGTACGCACGCTCGGCGTGCGCGGCCGAACACTCGCAATGGCGCCATCTTAAAACGGTGCTCGAATGCAGACTACCACTTCACGGGATGTCGATTTCACCTATAAAGTATAGCGGTTAAACCATTGTTAAACCGGGAAATTGACGTCTCGTGACATCACTTTCCCCCTCCGAATTTATCGGGGAAATCGACATCACAGGATTCAGTATTCGGAAGTTGTGTATTGCTTTTCTTATTATTGTTTAGTTATTTAATGATAATGAATTTATTATAGACGATCGTTTTTGGCAATTTTTATGGTAATGTTTTTGTTACTTTTAATTTTAAATAGCATTAAATTATGTAAAATGTAAAATACAATAAGTATAAATTAGTGATATTTGAGATTAGAAATGTATTTAATTAATTTGAGAAATTAGCGGGAACCTTCGAGCACCTGCTGTGGTCTAGTAAGAGCTAGGCCGCAGAGGCGCTCGCACTAACGTCAAGTAGCCTTCGTGGAGGATTTGGTCTTCCCGTCCGGTCCAACAGACATTCTAGGACGACACCTTGCGCTTGATCTTAGACTGCGCTTGAGTCGGGCTTCGAGGTGCACACCTGACTTTGCCTCTCTCTTTCAGTGTGTGTGTGTGTGTGTGTGCGTGTGTGTGTGTGTGTGTGTGTGTGTACGTGTGTGTGTACGTGTGTGCGTGTGCGTGCGTGCGTGCGTGCGTGTGCGCGTGTGTGTGTGTATGTGTGTGTGTGTCATGTGCCAAGACGTCCATTTCTCGTTGCTATTGACGCGTTCTCCTTTCTTTTTTTTCTGTTTTCCTTGCGCAATCAACGTGTTTCAGTGGAGGAATGTGCGCCTCGTTACGACATCATGTTGCCTCGAGTAACGTGACGTAAATTTCTTCGAGGTGGTTCTGTGAGGTCGTAGTTTACGCTCAACACAGTCTATGATGCGTGGTCTTTGTTAGCATAATCAAGTTCGTGTCTTTTTTATTCTTTTATTTTATGAGATATCGTTTTTTTTTTTACGTCTTTTAGGTGCTTAGTTCCTACTGTAAAGGGAACGGCGTTATAAACTTCTTTGGTCGCGTCGAAGTCGCGGGCGTCGCTCGTCTGGAGCTCTCCAACTCGTACGTAAAGACCCTGGAGTCGTGGGTGGCGACCTTCCTGAAGAAACCTTCGGCCTCAAAGCTGACAGTAAAACGATCGATGATGGTCAGGTTGGCATCTATATGGGCCAAGACGGAGGCAGGGAAGAACCAGAGATGGTGATCGTCGACTTTCCGGTCGAACCAGACGGCAAACCGTCCTCTGACAATTACCGTGGCTGTCCAAGGAAAGTCCTACAAGGAAAGTCGAGGTGTTGGTTAAATTATATTCTCAGAAAAAATAAAAATAAAAAAAGGTCGATGTATTGTTTCATATAGAAAGCAGCCCTTGGTACACATGTTTCTTCAGAAGAAAGGAAACTTTACCCCGACAGTCGAGAAGCGAAGTTTCTTCCACCTCTGCATCTCAGTATGGCAGCCCCGAATTGAGGCAATCTGTACCTCAATATTGCTCAACGAGAACGCAACGTATATTGGCGGCGTCTGCACAGAACGCTGCCGCGATTCAACCGAAAATACTTGGCATAGTTTTCACACGGTCCCCCAGTGGCTGCAAGCAGCTATCGCAACAAAAGCAGTCAGCTGCTTGGCACATACCTAAACAGGTCACTGCTTTCGGGCTAGGGGAACACCAAATAGAAGCATAACACGAACTCTTAACGAATTGTATTTATTCCCAAAGCCAGCTTCTTGCGCAGGTAAGTAACGAAACGTGAGTTTAAATGCAGTCCCCCAGTCTTCTCGTTCCCAACACTGTGATATTAATCGGATACGACCTAATCCCGGCCACTCCGCGCACTTCACGACTTATTTTGCTATTCCTCGAGCCACAATTTTTTTCGCGAGCACAGCGCGCCACCGAGAAGTGCAAAAGCCTCTGTCAAAACAGCGATTTCATAGTAGCCTATTTTGCTTCCTATTGCACGGTAACCAGAAAAATATCGCTAAGCGTGATTTGTGGAAGAAGGTTAAATCATTCGACACCAAATGGCAGGGTCAAGCAGAGTAACTTGAAATAGCCAGGCTAGTTGGCGCTAAGTACCGCCCACTTCATAAACGGCAAAAATAATATTGCTTGCTCGCAGTGCAGCCATTGTGCTTCGTACAACCTTATCAAACACACTTGTACAGTTTGCTAATCTCGTAAATTTAATGCCGACGTTACTAGAACAAGTAAGTTGGGAAACTTCCATAGGAGCCTGCTTCAAAAAAGTAGCTCCAATCCGTACTCCAGAACCGAACTTGACGCGATCGCAACGCCGCCATTTTACCCTCAGCGGCCACTCCGGAAAATGCAAGGCTGCTCGTATCGGTTCACCCGAGTCAGGCAGGATCTGGGGGCGCTAGAGTTGTTGTATAGGCTCCCTACAGGGCTCGTATGTTTTCCATGCGCTGCCGCGATTCACAGAGATCCGTTTACGTAAGGAGCAAAATCCAACTGCCGTGCAGGAAAGACACCGATACTGCCGCTTCGCCGACGTTGGACGCGCCCCGGCGTATTTTCCCCTGCTTTTGTCCCCCTCCTCCTTTCCTCTCTTCACGAAGAAGAGGATAAGAAGCGCGCCGCTAATGCATGGCGCCGCTTTTCGCCGAATTCAGTCACGTGACGAGCAGTCCCGAGTCGTGTAGGAAAGCCAGCACTACGGGGACGAACGACCAAATCTAGAGGACGCTAGAGTTCCTGTACAGGAACTCCAGAGGACGCCATCTCGCAGTGTCATCTCGCGGAAACTATGTAAAGCAACTTTCATGTTTTGACTCGCCACTAAAGGGCGGCGCTGTAATCGTATCCAGTTTAGAGTTCCTCTATAGACGCTTTGCAGCAGCTGTGCATGGGCGCCGCCATAACTAACCTTCAGTTTTTGTTTCCTCTTATTTCGTTTATTACCCTTCATCATTACCATAACAGGCCAGGTTATTGCCATATTAGATTCAACTGTGTCCTTTTCTAAAGCATCGGATTTAGTAGAGGATCGTCAACTACCGTTTCAGTTGCTCGCCATCTCGGTAAGACAAGAGAAGGTCAGCAATGGCGGCTGTAATTTGGCGCGTGTGTAAAGCGTCTATAGACCATTCCATTCAGCGCTCTCTGGGCGGCACCATTTTCTTCGACAGCAGCGCCCCCTCCATACATCCGGGAAATTCAGCGGGTTCGGCGGGGTAAAACGAGAGAGAGGGCACGCGCCCGACTCCGCTAGCAGACGACAAAACGGGAGGTTGCCATCCTCCATCTTTGGGCTGTATCGGCGGGCTGTACGGAACATCGAACTCTCGCTCGTGGCTGCCGTTGTTAAGTGGTTCGCGTTCTTATAATAGTTGTGGCTACTCCCAAATCAGCCTAGAGCTCTCTGTTGTTCTACTTCGGTAAATGATCAACGGACATATCTTTTTTCCGTTACTTAAATAGCAGTTGAGTCAGCCGGCAGTACTACCCTCAACTACTGCGTGTATTGCGGCAGCAGAGCACGTTTTTATTTATTATTTCAGACTTCCACTCATGGTCGCTAAAGGCCTACACCAGCACGAACTTTTTATAGTAAAAAAGGTACAGTCACCGGATTCACTTTTCGCCGGAGAGGCCGGCCAGTCTGAGACAGTTTTCCCTATTTTTTTTTTTATTATTTGCACGCAGATAATAGCGCAATGGGACTCTGCTAGTCTTTTTTATCTAGCATAGTAATACACGATAACTGGCATACCAAAATCTGCGCGTCTGCGCTTGAAATTCCCAAAATGACGCTCTTTTAAACAGAGCTTGGACGCCAGTCGGATGCTATAGTCGGTTACAAGTCAAGAAGGTAGGAGAAGCTCCTCCCACAAGTGTGATGCGCCCGTTTCAAATCTCTCCGCAGCCGAAAGAAAAGTTCACTGGAAACGCTCCTTGTTCCGCTTCAATGGATTCCCACTTGTCTCCGATCCCACTTTTTAAGAAAGCGACCTTTGTATTCATCGGAGAGGGAACCGAGCCCCTGAAAGCGGCCTTTGTATCAATCGGAGGGGGAAGCTAATCCCCGAAAGTCGTATTTGTTTCCATCGGAGGGGGAAAACTCTAATCTCCCTCTCGCGGCTTCCACAATGCTAAGTCAAAGTCGAAAGATAAAGCAAATATGTACAGAAAGGCAAGACCCTCCTCGCGCGTTGGTCGCGACGTCACGGAAACGGTGGGACGCTATTGGATGCGGAGGTGGCGGAGGGATATCCGATTCCCTTTGAGGGGCATTTGCCGCTACCTTCTTAACCTGTAACTGACTACTGCCCATTCGGCGGAGCAGACGACATTCGGGCGAGAGGCGGAGGGCATTTTTTTTTCTCTTTTTACCCTCTCTGCTATGACCCTAATGGAACGGTCTATAGCTACCTACGGTAGCAGAGTTGCGCATTCAGTCTCGGCGGGTGGCCGTAGCGCCGGCTTTCCTGCAGGCCCTGGATGCTTTGCTTCTCACGTGACTAAATTAGGCGAATAGCGGCGCCGCGCGCGCCGCCGCGCATGGAAGGCAGAAAAAGAGCAGAAGGAGGCGAAAGCAGGGGAACATACGTCGGGGCACTAGCAACGTCGGCGAAGCGACCGTAAAGGTGCCTTTCTTGCACGGCGCCGGATGCTTTGGTCCTCACGTGAAGGATCTCGGCGAATAGCGGCGTGGCGGCGCGGGGAAAACAAATGCGCAACTCTGCTCCCCCTTCGGGGGAGCATATCAAGGTACTCTAATCCAGTTCGGTCTCAGTGGACGTGAGCGATCCGGGCCCCAACTCAGTGTTTCAGTAACGTTGTATATTCCGCAGAAGCGGCCGAAACTGATAACAGAGCCGTCTAACGAGGAAACCGATTATACTACGAAAATTGAAGCGGCTCTCCCTGTGACTGCTGCCACTACCATATAGAACTATCATTTAACCTCTTCGTTTCTTTCTTTGTCGCCCTCAGTTTCAATTTTATGACATTGTTGTTAGTCGGCTTATGATTTGACTAGACCTGCATAGCGGTTATTATCCTTCATAAGTCGGCGTGGCACGTTTATCATGAGGCGCTGCCTTAGCCCGATTGACGTCCAAAAGTTTCTGTAAAATATTAAAAAAAAGATAAAATGAAAAACTAGCGGTAACATTTTTAATCCCCGAAACACTAATTGGTCACTGCTTTGAACCTGGAAGTCTAAACGTATGAAATGGACTGCTGTGTGACCTTCCAGACTGCGCCGGCACTTGACGCACGCCATCTGTGTAACCACTACTCGCGCATTATATTTAACACTGGAGCACACTCTTGTATATATTTCGCGTATCACAACCTACAAAAACATTAGCTGAATATTCTATACCGGGTGTTTCAGCGAGGGCTTTCAAGAATCCCTAAAAATAGTTTTGTTAAGGACAACAAAATCATTCGGGGAACAAATAGCGACCTAACATTTAGCACTGAAGACGCGGCGGCACGCGGCAGCAAATCCTGCCTTTCTTGGTCGCAAAGTTGCCATAACGCCTCTGCTTGGACAGTTAGGGGGGCGGCCATCTTAGTCCATTGCACGTGGCACTGTTGGCGCTGCTTCAGAACTTTTAACTGCTCCGTGGCAAACAGTGGCAAACAGGTCAATATAACCTAAATGCTCTGTGAATTTAGACTGGGAGACTGTATGCCAGGTGGCCTGTTCTGTCGCTGACACTTAATCAGCTTAACAGTTTTTGTTATACAACGCGTGGGACGCGTCTAACAACGAAACAGCAAGAAGATGAGGGTGGAGGCGGAACTTCTTTCCCGTCTGCTTCGAGGAGAAAAGTGTCTCGTTTCTCCCTTCTTGTCTCCGCTAGGCAGCACGTCAGTAAAGAAAAAGAAAATGCGTCGTTACAATTTTTGTTTTTGTTTGATTAGAGTGTATGACTAAGGCATTGTGTTTTTTGTGGGTCCGTATTGTTATGTTTTTACCTCAAAGAGTTTTAAAATCTGACTAAATAAAAAAAATGTGATTCACTCTAGTTTAATTCGAGCAATAATGTGCTAAATATAATAATATACAAGTTGTTTTAACACAAAATGCGTTTTATCATACACTTTCCACGAGAACACCATTACGTCCTACCGCTATGCTCATGTGATGGCCACGCTCAACAGTAGGATCAAATACCGTGGAAGCCAATACTGGCAGCTCCCGCGGAAAACGGGCGAAAAGTGATTGCAGCGCCCCTGGCGAGCTCGGAGTCTCCGCTGGCAGACAAATTCTCCAAAATGCATTGGTTTTGCCTATCTCCGTGCGAGGTGACCAACGAAAAAAAATTGTCACGGACATTCGCTGGTTTGAAAGTTAAAAAATGGCTGCCAGCTCATGAGTGAAAGACATTCTCTTCCCGTGGGAAAGATGTTACAGCTTTCTGGGTGCAATTTCGGAGTTCTCCCGAAGAAAACATTCTGTCACAACTTATGTAAGCCAAGCAAAACACGAATGTATGCCTTCGCGCTGTTTCGTGAAAAAGGGAAATGTACAAACGTTTCAGAACATAGCTTCGTTTCAACTTTATTGTTCTTATCAGTCAATTCGTTTTGTCGTTGCAATTCCCATTTCTCATGAGTGTCTTGCTTATAACCGTTTCGTCGAACAGGCGAGCTGGCTAATCCCGTTAAGATCGTCTCCGGATGAAGAAGCAGAAGTCAATTTCGAAACCACGTACGTTACGGCGATGTCAGTATGCTCCGAAAGAAGGCGTTGTGCATACGCAAAGCTGATGCGATTATAGATTAACAAAAGAGGAGTTACAAAAAAAGCAGACTTCTCGCGCTTGCAAAGAAAGAAGGGGAGAGCGTCGTAGCCCCGCGAAAACAGATGATTTCAGTCACGTTATTTACAGTGCACAAATTCCGATTGTTAGCGCGGGGACGACCAACATCTTCTGCTTCGCTGCTTCTTTACTTCTACGATAAAGGCCGACACCCGTTGAACCGTCTCCACTCTTTTCATTTTTGAGTCTTCTTTCTTTTATATTTGTGAGGCGACGGCACTCTGCCGCGTTATTTCTTCCTTCTGCTTATATGTTGCTGTGTATATTTTTTGTTTGCTTTTTGCTTTTTTTTTGCCCGACGTGTAAACAATCGCGTATCCTTGCTTTGTTTGGCTTAGTTTTTACTCCCTTTCCTCGCTTCGGCGCTTACTACCCCCGGTTCGTCTGCGCTAGGCCCGGGCATTTTGAGGGCCGTCTGCAACTTTGCTGTTGTTGTTGTTGTTTTCTTCCACTGTCGTCTCCGATAACCTCCTATTTTCGCCTTCGATTGAGTTTCTAATCCAAAATCGCCATACGTGCTTTTTGATATTTATTAAATATATTAAGAAGTGTAAGCTCGTTACCTATTTTTATTCGAATTTTATTTGTGTACTCCGGCCGGCACGTCTGCTACGGGTCATCGTTTGTTGATCAACCGGCCGCATTCAAGAACAAGTTTGTGCGATGTGGTGCCTACCATTGCAAGAACAAGTTTGTGCGATGTGGTGGAAAACCTTTCTTCTGCTTCCTACGTCAACCTACGGACACCTACGTCAACAAGTACTTGAATGCACTTTTAAACTGCCTCGTCAAGCGAGCGAACGAACAACCCGCCAAAGTCACTGGAAAAAAAAATTCGAAAGCAAAAAAAGGTTACTCACTGCTAGCACATATAGAAGATTGCTGCCTGCGACCAAAACATTTCTGCGACTCTTTTTTAACGGGCAGTGTGAGCTGCACTACGTTATTTATTTCCCCTGTTTTGTTTTTAGTTCGTACCTACGCCGCGAATGCAAATAAAGAAATGTACAACAAGCAGCTGAAAAAAAAAAAGGGTCGCTTTCTTCTTTTTTTATTAGTTTCGTCTGTTGCTTCCGCTTTGTTTGTCGTGAACTCAACACCGGTGGCGACCACCAGCTATTCATTTGCTGCTTTCCATTTTTCTTTCTTTTTTTTTTTATAAGCGCCGCAACGATCGTCGTCGTTGAAATAGTTTTTTGCTAGCTTCTTTGTTTTATTCGCCGTTGTTCGCTTCTCTTTCCCGTTTCTTCTTATTTTCGTCGGGAATGGCGACACCATTTTTTCTGCAAAGTTCGGTAAGTGTTTGCACGTTCATTCTTATCCTTACTTTTTGTTTTGTTTTTATGCTCCAGCAGCTCGTGCGCTTGCTCTGCTAATATTAACGTGTCGTTTTTGCATGTTTTAACGATTACGATGTAGTTCGAGTAGCTAAACGCCTTTTTTCCGCTTCCCAGACGCGTTTCAAACGCGTGTGATCCCCTGAGAGGCGTTTGAGACCGCTAAATAAACTGCTTTATCTTTGTTTATGCGCGCGTTGTTATTCGATTGTCGTTGCAGTTGCGATCAGTAGATTCCGCTTTGCAAGCGAACTGACCGTAATAAATTGTTTCTGCTGTTAGGGTGACGATACGGGGCTTGTAAAGCTCGAGGACGTCGCGGAGCCTATACTTTTCCATTGCGACGACTGCTCCAGTAGACTCCGAGTCCGCTAGAGGCGCCACTGTCACGTTCGCCGCCGCTCCTATGTGTTTTCGGAGGAGTTTCCAGTATTGGCGAAGCTATATTGTATTTGGTAGGATATTTACAGTGTGTTTCTCGAAGCGCGGGCCAAATCGCTCCTGCAAAAATACGCATCGCTCAGAAAAAAGATTAACGCCTTATTGGTTTCTGCCAAAGGGCCTATTTTGAAAACACTAATAGCATTCAGTTTCTCTCACTTATGTTTCACTAGTTAAATTGAGCTTGGGACATTTCTCCAGTAAGTTGTTGCTGCGCATGCCTACATCCCCCCTCTTGACATGCACCCCCGGTCACCATTTTCGGAGGGCGCCGTCCCTCTGCCTGCGCGACCGACTTATTCACCGCCTGTCTTTGTGGGTATTTCGTCTCTTTTTCGATTCGTTTTCGAGAGACGGTAGTACGGGGCATAGAAAGCAATAAAAACAGATACAACGGCGTGATGCCGATGCGTTTTGACACGCAAAGTCCGGTTGGACTCTTTTTGTTTGTAGTTAGCTGACAACTCCCAAGGTGGCGCTCATTACTGGAATAGGGCACTTGGACGTGCAGGGTCGAACATTAGGATACAACGTGAATTATATGCGGGGAAGAAATTCAGATAACAAAGCATGTTATTATGAAAGGTAAAGGGCTCAGCCACCCACTGAACAGCTGTAAAAAGTGGAGTTCAGTAAATGAGCATTAGATGCGTAACAGTGAAAATCAAGGGTCAGACAGAGGTATAATATCTCAATGAATTGAATAAAAACATAATTTAGTCCGGAGCTATAGGTATTATTTGGTAATATCTCGCAGGCCACCGCCCTATTTAAGAGCAACAGCCGCTATACATCCATGCATCCATCCATATATCCAGGTTCGTTACTCTTTTTCATCCCACCGAATGCCACGTGTTTCATCACTAAACATTTAACTTACCACGACATTGTTGATGACGTACCACGTGACTTGAACCGTCTTGTTACTCGGCACGGCCACCTTGACCTCGATTTTCAACGTTTCGATCTTGGTGTGTATGTCACTCTTCGTCTTGCTGAGGCTGTACTGGAAGCTATACGAGCCGCCTACACTAGCAATAAGAGGTGCTCCGATAGAAAAGGTGGTTTTGTAGTTCGTCTGGAATCCCTTCACCAACTTGGAGGCAGCAGACTCTGTGTTTGTGTAGGAATGCGATACGCTGTATATTGCATCCGTCCTCTGTCTGTTTGTAAACGTGGTGGTGTAGACCTGTGTGGGTTGTCTGTGTTCCCCGATGGCATCTCCAAACTCCATGTTAGTCGCTGTCACGGTCAGCTTGAACCTGGAACAGAAAGTGTAAGAGCCATGCTGCAGCGTGGTCATATTTTTTTTTTAAGAAGGATATTTAGGCCCTCGGCTTAAATAGCATTCGATGTAATGTATGAAAATTACGATGTCAGTACACTTTGTGGGCTACCTGGTGATCCAAGGCGTTGGACCACGGTTTCCGCATGTAAATCCTCTGTACTAAATTTCACCGCGAAAAGTGGAAGTGCAATCTGCCACGCGAGTGCCGCTAAACCGCTAATAAAAGTGCGGCATCGCGTATGCGTAAGGGGTTCTTCGGTCGCGGCGTGCGTCGCTCCCAGTAAATAAATGACTACGTGTTTTTGAACCAGCGTGTTAAAGGAATTCTCCGAAGCGGATAGCAGCTAGCAAAATCCCACACTGGCACCAACTCGGGTTTTGCTACTCGTCGGGGAGGGTGGCAGCGAACAGGTTTCACTTTTGCATTTTACTTTGTCATTTTGTCAGCAGCGAAAGCCCACAGTTTACTTCACTGGACGCTGAACTACGTATTTTCAGGCATCCTGTGCTGCGTTGTCACCCAACGACGAGCAAAATCGTCCCCTCATCCTCCAAACGTTGCCCATATCACCTGATCTGCCACGTGCTGCCTCACACCAATTATCCTGCGCATCTACTAGTCAACGACCGGCTGCATTAACGAAGCGGCAGCATAAATGGGGACCATCGTCGACGTACCCACCCAAGGGAGGTACCGCCAGACGAGAGAGCCTGAGGACAAGACAAATTTCAGCAGGGTGTCGACCAGGTTGCGAAGACACACAGATGTGATGGTCGGGAATTTATGGAAGCTCATGTGGCAACAGGCCAACGCACACTCGACCATGTGAAACTTGCTGAGCGTCCTATAGGGTCAATGACTGGGGAAAACCGGTACAAGAAAGACCCTACAGGTTCTGGCGCTGGCGGCCAACGAAACGCCAGAAGCAACAGCGGAGAGACTGTGTGCCCTGTACGCCCCTGCAGATGCATCGGGAAGTCCGGGGATACAGAACACAATATCGGGGCCTTTGGATGCCCTTTTCACCCTCCAGGACCTTTAAAGTGCCCTCGGAAATGTGGGAAAAAGATATAAACTGCAATAAGGTACTGCGGTGGGCTAGTTGGTTCATACTTAGTGTTTGAACAGCGCAATCTTCCTGTCGTCTTTGCGCTGTTCAAACACTAAATGGGAAAAAGAGTGCAGCCAGATTTGACGGAATTCCGCACCAGGCATTCACGAAACTCACGAGGCCCAAGATTCCTTTGTCAAATGGTTGAACACTATATGGAACACCGGGGACGTCTGTAACGAGTTTAAGTAGCAATGTTGGTTCCTCTGTTTAAGGAAGGGAAACTGCCATGAAAGGCGGAGTCATACTACCCAGTTTCACTAACTTCGTTCATCAGCAAGTCATTCGAGAGGATGGTGCAAGCGCGGATATGCTGGTGCCCTGATAAGTATCAATGTCTCCCGAACTGCATGACCGTTTTTAGGAGGGTGCTGGCAGCCCAATACATTATCTTGAACCTAACGAGTGATATGGAGGGCAAGTGCAGGCGGAGGAGCACGACTGTCTATTGGAAACACCAGCATGAAAATCAAACTGGCCCAGCTGGTAACTAAGCTGGTCAATCTCGTCAATGTGGTCGTCAAACTGTTTAACTGGCGATCAAGCTGGTTTAAGCTGGGCAAGCTAGAATTTAAGCTAGTCAGTCTGGTTTAAGTAAAAACCAGCATGGTCTAACTAGAATCTGATTTTAGATTCAATCTGGTGTAGCTGCAAGCCAGTCTGGTCCTAACTGGTCAAACTGGTTTTCCATGAAGCTAATGTGGTCATGCTGGGGACAAGCTGGTTATTCTGGGGGACAAGATGGTGAATCTGGTCGAGCTAAAAATCGTGGTGGTCAAGCTGGTCATGCTGGGAGCGCGCACGCCAAGGTCGGCTAGAGATAGCCGAACTGGCATTGCTGGGAGCGCGCGCGGCAAGGTCGGCTTAGGCTGGAACGAGGCCATGTCCTGGTCTTTGTCCTTTCTTTTTTGGTAGACAACCGGGCGCGTCAGGTGCGCTGCAAGCTACCTTTGTGTGCGAGAAAAAAGAGAGAGAGAAAGTGGTAGGAACGGAAAATTTGAGACGCGTTTGGCTATCTTGGGCAGATTTTCGAAGGGACGGCTGTGCGCGCGTTGTTTGGAGACTACTTGAACGACGGTGCAAGCGAAGCGGGTTTTGAGGAGACAGCGAGCTGCAGTCCGTTCAGTGCGGGAAGATGTCGGACGTCCCTACTGAGGCGTCGCTTCGTGTCTTCGAACGTGTGTGCGCTCCTGAATGACGATGGTGCCGAGGAGTATCGCCAATGTCATCCAAGCCACACGGATTTCCTTGCCTCTGCCGACCACGCAAGTTGCCGCTTCGCCCCATCACTGGCGGGACCCAGGTTCGCTTCTCTCATCCGTGTAGCATTTTCTTTATATAACATTATTACGCTCGAAGTTTGAATATGCAGCCCCCATCTGGGATCTCCCGGTGCGGATTGCCTTGTTGACTTTATCGAATCCATACAAAACACTTGGGAGACTAAAATCCAAACGAAACGTTTGGAAGCACTGCGCTTCTCTGTGACTTCATATTTTTACCTCCAACGATCGTTTTGGTTCGTGATAACCACCGTAGGTATCGTAGTTTATTTTCCAAAGTAAAGGTATATAAATGGTGTTTAAAAGTACAGTGTTGTTTTACCTCAAGATTAAACTACGCATTGCCGAACGCTCATTCTCTGTCCAAATATAGCGCTAACTGTCCGAACCAGGTGCCAAAGTTGTGGAACCAATAACTATCTTATTCAAACGTTATAATTTAGTTTCTAAAATTATCAGTGCAGAAATGGCGGCGAAACAGAGACAGAGGACGAGGTTCGACGGTTCTCAGAATGAGGCTCGACGATGTGTAGTTCATTTTTGCGGTGAAAAAAAAACAAAACCTGTAAATGGGACAGCTTTGCAAATATACTGCCCGACCATGTTATCGCAAGTAATGATCGACTGTTTTGCTGTCTGTCCCCTTGAATGGAAGGGTGGCCACAAGACAATACGGGTGAATATATAAAGAGGTTACAGCTAATGTTACGCGTCAAAACTAGCCGGAATCAGGCGCCCGCACATAGACAGCTAAACCTTTTAACGAATGTGCAGTGAAGGTCAGTTCTACTTTATGAAATATCAAGGCCTATAGAACTCTTCCTGTATAAAATAAAACCAACAAAACCTCCAAAGTCAAAGGCGGGCGTGTCTGCAGACGACCGAGTTAGCGTTGAATTTAACTTATGACGTGATTCCTCGAAAGGCGCAGCGAGCGGGCCATGCACTCTGCTCTCCGCTCACTGCGCCTATCGGGAGCTTTCGCGATAAGTTAGAGTCATCGCTAAATCGCTCACCTGCGAAAACGTCCGTCGTTGACCTTGCCAAGTTTCTTGGCTTCATTTTATACAGGAAGAGTTCTTAACGCCTTGATATTTTGTAAGGCGAAACTGACCGCCTCAATGAACATTCATTAAAAAAACATTCTAGCCTTCAATGTGCGGGTGCCTATGTTTCTGGATCGTTTTACAGCATCAGATCCACTAAACCCATCTTATAGTTTTTCTACTGAGCAAGATAGAAGGAACCTTCGTGTGTCTGAGCACATGTTTGAAATGCGTGCACAGTACGTAAGGTTTGGATTTTCATAAGCGGGGTACTGGTTTAAGTGATATGCGTTGAAACGTAATTTATCGTACCTTTTGTACACCCCGCGCTCCTGCATCAGAGCATGCTCTGCCGAGATGTCAACAAAATCTACGGAGGTTTCGTGTCGAGCTGCGAAATGATCCGCGTATCTTTTGACGGTCTTCTCCAGGTCGAATATAAACTGTGACTCCTCTGTAGAAAATGCAAATTTGTCATTCAATTATTGTTTCTTGTGGCAGTTACTAACAACTGAACAATCGCGGGCGTGGCGATTCCCGGGCATATCATTATCTCTACGCAGCCAATGAAATTGCAGCATTCGCCGATAAGAATGTCAATGAACGAATCACGAGGCCAGGGTCACGAACACATGATAAACCACGCCGTGTTTTTCTGAGGCTGCCAGCGACTTTAATTATAGTGTAAATGGTCGTGAGAAGGAAGCAGATACGCTCAGTTTTCTTTTTTTTTCGCCTGTGTATAGAAACAAACTACAGCATTTAGGAAGTATTTTAGCGAGACAACTGCGTCAATAATTTACAATTTAAGCTAAAAAAAGTGTTACTGGAACATACATGGGAACCGAGTAGCCGCTGCAACAACCGCTTGTCTCACGTCAGAATCGTAAATGCACCGACCCGCCCCAACTGCACATTTGGCTATTTATATTTTTTAACGTTTAAATAAATAAATAGAAACAAAACAAAACAGAATGACTTCGTAAATCCGGTCGCCTCATTTTTATAAGGGTAGCATGTACCATGGACGTACCAACCCGGGGGGGGGGGGGGGGGGGGGGGCAAGGTGGGACTTTGCCCCCCCAGTTCTCAGAGTGGGGGGCAAGGCATGTGTTTTGCCCCCCCCCCCCTCCCCCCTGAAACGGCCGCCACTGGGCCGGGCAAACACTGGCCGGCGGCGCCCAAGGAATACCAAGGGCACTGGCACCCGACTCGCGCGGGCATATTTTTAAGGCGCAGGCGATACAAACCCTAGCAACGGCGCTCACGCCGAATTGGCTGGTTCGTAGAGCCTTGCTCCACGAACAAGGCTTCACGGTCCTCTTGCAGAATCCATCCGCGAGACGTGGGCCGGACGGGCCTTCCGGACCAGGACGTAGGCCCTCACACAAAATAAAGTTTCGCTGGCTTGGTTGGAGATAGGCGCTGCCGCCGTCAACATAGTCAGCGGATACAATGCGAGTTTCCGAAAAGGTAGCGTAACTTAGTGGTGAGATGTCTGATTCACACGTATCAGACTCGGCTTCTACTTATGGTGTGGGCTTACCTCTTTTTTTTTCCTCGAACAATTTGTTTTGTCGAGGCATTTGGCGATATTTACGACATCTCTATTTTTTTTTAAATTAACACAAAAAAACGAAAGTTGTTGACGAAACATCGCTGAACTGTCGTATGGGACTCTATTTACGGAAGTGCATGGGGGACAGCGGGGGGGGGGGGGGGGAGGTTGGATTGCCGACGGGACCATGCAAGGCGGCGTGTACGGGGGGAGGGGGGGTACGTGCTAAGTGGGTTAATAGATTTGCAGTTAACACCCGCACACTGTCGCCGCGCAGCGGCGTGAACGCAGGCGCGGGGGTGTCTTACTGCGCTTCGAGTGATACACGCGCCGTCCGAATGTGAAATTTTAGTTCCCGCGCGTTGCCGAGTAGCCCATGGCGTGAGCGTCGTTGCTAGGGGGTCTATCGCCTGCGCCGTAAAAGGAGCCAGTGACCAAGGCGCCCGGTGCGCATACACAATTGGCCCTCCCCTCCCCCCCCTCCCCCCCACTCTTTTACAGCGCCTACACGCACACACGCCGTAAAAGTTAGTGATGGACCGAATCTGCCGAACTTCAGATTCGGCAAAGTTCCGCACATGCCGATATTTTGAAGGAAAGTTCGGCAAAAATTTGGCAAATGTCTGCGCACGCGCACGAACGCGACGGGGCCATGCATCGCAAATGGACGCCGCGTAGTCGAGCGGTTACCATGGCACAGTTTCTTTCCTCTTCTTTCTTTATTTCTTTCTTTCCGGATTGACCGGGAGGTGGACAGAGACTAAAGGCGTGATGCCTGACGAGGTCTCTGTCCCCTTTACAACCATCGGTTACGGCAAGATGTGGAGTAGGCTACGCGGTAACTGTGCGTTTGTGAGCTTTTGCGAGTGTGGTTCTCTTCGATATTTTCTGCCTCAAGAACAGAAGATCGACCAGTAATTTACTCCGTTCACTGCGCAAGTGACAAATGATGCGGTGCATTCTGGATAACGTGATTTTCATTTGACCTCTCCATTGATGCAACGAGGTAGTTGAGACATTGACTGGCAACTGACAATTACGCTCAGTGTGTGCAGCCCACTGCCGACAAACGGGGCAGAGTCACGACAGCTTGCCAGAATGTATGGGATGCATCTGGCATCCCCGTCATTTTCTGAGACATGTTTTCTCGCTTCGTTCCTCTCCTTTTTACATACTTTCTGTAGTGTGTATATTCTGTACATTTATTTGTCTGTTTTGTTTCTTCATATGTGGTGGCGGGCTGGCAGCAGACATGCAGGGGTTATCCAAAAAAAGTAATTAAGTTAATTTACTGAGTATTAGCATCAAAAGTAATTTGAGTAGAGTAGAAATCACTGAAATGAAAAGTAATTCAGTCAATTACTAATCACCGTAAAAAAGTAGCGAATTACTTTTCAAGTTACTTTTATTTTTTTTTCTATGCTAACAAGAAAGTAGTTACATAGGTTTTGATGCGTGAGCGAAATTCTGCGAGCCGAATATAAAGCGGCTTGTGTTTTCACAGAAATACTTTAATAGCTGGTTCTTCTTCTGCGTGCCTAATTGTTGTGTATTTCTTTTTGGCCAAGGATGTTCTGCGGATGTACCATTTCACTTTTGAGGTTTACCACTGCCTGAGCTTCATTTTGCAGACAGTGTTTGATTGCTTACAATGTTGCGTACAGGACGTCTAAAAACTACTTGGAAGTTCAAAGTAAATGAGAGGTTATGTACTCCAAGTAAAGTAGTAAGTACACCGAATGGCAATGTACTTGAAGTAAAGTACTATAAATGCAATGTACTTCCAAAGTAAAGTTGAAGTACTTTTTACACTCTTTCAGAGTGCCCTTTCATTTCTTATACAACGTTTTTTTGTTTTGTTTTTTTAATTGGCCGGTATGCATTGTTTTAGAGGAAATCGGAGGTGCATCAGTTTTTTTCGGAAAGAACGGCGAATTCGGAAATACATCAGTTTTTCTTTTTTTTTTTTTTTGAGGGGGGGGGGGAGGGGGGGGGGACAGGCGGCAACTAGTACGCCATAGAGTGATTGCTTTATTCTCGCTGCCGAACCATTTAACACAATCAACTTTTAAATCACTTATTTCTATCGGTTTTATAGCCGGCATTTCTTCACTAAGAAAAATGACCAGATGACGTTTCGAAAGAGCAGAAGCTATACAGGAGCACTAGATTAACTTCAGAACGGGTGCTGCACTTTGTTACCTCCCCTGGGTGAGGATGCAGTGTGTGCACTTCCTGTAGTGGGCAAGAATTCCTACCATGGAGAAAAGCGGGGACAAGCCCTTTCTTCAAATGCGTCAAATCTCCATGAGCTTTGGGACATAGAAAAACGCCAGTCTTCTGCGCTAATCCCACAGTTACTCGGCCTCTCTTGCGTCGTGTCTGTTCGCTCCCCGCGCATTGTAGAAGTGTTGTTCCAGTGGGGGGCTCGTTAAAATTTTGGGGGGTTTTGGACTATCTAAATCACTTTCTTCCTCCCCCTCCCCCTTTTCTACGCCATATGCTTCCCCTCTGCAAATATCAGCTGATCTTCCAACATCTTTTCTCGGTTGATAGGCAAAACAACCACTAAAATTAGAAAGTAATTTGTAATTTGAGTGGAAGTCACTCGGAAAAGTAGTTAAAAAAACTAATAATTACCAGAATATAAATGTAATTCAAAGTTACTAAACTACCCAGAAAATTTAACTACAGTAACTTGAGAAAGTAGTTAAACTACGTACAAGTCTGGCTGGCAGGCGCTCTGCGTAAGAGTTTTCACCTATCTGCCTAGCCCCGCACACCATCACATAGGCCAATAAAGGTGTAGTTTTACTGCAGAGGAGAAATCAGCAGGGTCCAAGATGGGGACAATGAAGGATGGGGGGACTGTTCCAGTCGCTGATGGCTTGAGGAATAAATGATCGATTGAAAGCGTTAGTAGCGCCAGAAATGCGTTTGATGATGCAGGCGTTGTTGAGGCCAGAAGATGTTTGGTCGGGGGGTAATAAAGTGGTTTTGAGGCCGGAAATGTGATAGTAGAGCTTATGGATAAGGCACAGCTGGGAGTCTTTCCTGCGAAGCTGCAAATGGGACATGGTTAGTTGAGGTTTTAGCGCCGAGACACTGGAAAAAAAGTCATAAGTGGATGAAATGAAGCGAGCAGCTCTGTTCTCAACTGCCTCTAGGGTGTTGGCGAGGTACAGTTCATGCGGATTCCAGATGGTTGAAGCATATTCTAATTTTGGTCCGACGTACGTGTCAAAGGTGGAGCTCTTCTTAAGTTACGTATGAATATTCCAAGAGTTTGAGATGAATCGGCAGTAATGGCTTCAATGTGGTTATTCCAGGAAAGGTCAGATGTTAGTCTTACACCAAGGTATTTATATACAGTAGCGGTCTCAATCAGATCGGACTCCAAGAAGTAATTGAATGACAGGGTGTTTTTTTCCTGGTGAAGTGAATTAGTTTTCATTTATACTTGTTTAATGACATCATCCACTTTTTGCACCAATTGTTAATTTTATCTAGATTTTTCTGAAGCTGGTTATTATTTTGCACACAAGTCACTTTGTTATAGATGACACAGTCGTCGGCGAAAAAGCGTATTTTTGAAGAAATCCCAATGGGAATGTAATTAATAAATATTAAAAAGAGTAAGGGCCCAAGTAGGAACACCTGGGGAACATCAGAATATACATTTCTTAAGGAAGATTCATGATCATTAAGGCACGTGAGCTGTACACGGGAAAAAAGAAAGTCACGAATTCATGCAAACGGTTATTGGTCGAGGCAAAGAGATGATAGTTTAGAAAGAAGGCGTTGATGGAAAACACAGTCAAACGCTTTGGAAAAAAAACTGCGTCAGTCTGGACGTAACATTCAAGGTTAGTGTGCAAGTCTTGGATGAAGTCGCAGAGCTGTGTTTCGCAGGAAAGTACCTTTTCAAAACCGTGCTGTTGTTTAAAAAAAAAAAAGAGAGATGATAGGTGCCTCATCATATTGGAGTAGAGTATATACTCAAGTAGTTTGGAAGATATTGAAGTTAAAGAAATAGGGCGATAATTAGATGCGGAAGAGCGTCTGCCCTGTTTAAAGACTGGGATTACCCTTGCCACCTTCGAGTCAGATGGAAGGCAGCTTTGAGATAAGGACTGATTAAAGATGAGTTTCAAATACTCACTAAAAATAACACTGGCGTTTTTTTTTTTTAATTTTAGAGTTGGTGTTTTCGGTTCCAGCGGACGAAGTAAGTTTTAGTTTATCAATCACTTTTTTAATACCGGTGGAGCTGACGTTTGTAGGATGCATGCGCTCCTAAAGCTCTTAAGGGGGAGTGGGGACGGAGTCCAAGCACTCGTTAGTAAACACTATTGAAAAGTGTTCGTTAAGCACAGAACCATCATGCTCGGCGTTGCACATCCGACCATTCCTAACTCTCCCCATCTTCCTAAACGTCCGTGTGCGTCCTAACACCAGAAACCGGAATTTGAAAGGTTAAAAACGGCACGTTGCGCATATGAAACACGCACTTTCATGCAAAGCTGACGTCAAGTGACTCAAATCGAAAAACATGCATATTTACGATATTGTTATCTCTTCTTGTGAAGGCTCAGCAACCGTTACATTCGTTTTCGCGCACGAAACGGTGACTCCCAGAGAAAGTAAGGACGCAGTGATTGCCTTTATTTTAACAATGTAAACACGCTTGCTGATGCCTGATGTGCGCTGATGAAGCCTCAAAATCAAAACTCTCGTAGCGTGATTCGTGACTGCGCCGGCTACTACCCAACCTCGTTGTCACGCCACTTTCTGCAAGAAAACACTAAAATTGCCAGCAAACACACAAAAGCGACATCGATACAATTATCTTGTAGAATATCACCTTATTTAGTCATAACTGTTTTAATAGGCACTACATGTTGTATTTATTTTATGAAGAAAAAACAAAATTGTTTTCGTGAAATAAAATATCAATGTTAAGTCTAGACATTGCATTTTTGCCGAATCATTGCTAAATCTTTAAAAAAGTTCGACAAAAGTCGCGCCGAATTTTCGATTCGGCAAAAGTTCGGTCCATCACTAGTAAAAATATGCGACCCGGGGATTAAGGGGGGGGGGGGGGGGTCTGGTTTGCCTCCCCCCCCCCCCTCAACATCAAGTTGGTGCGCCACTGGAATGTATGATGAGTTGCGACTGAAATCCATCCCACGCAAAACGAGCGATGCTATGGTTTTCGTTTCATAGAAGCACAATGAGCATGTTTGATTGTCTAAAGAAGACAAATCTGGTAGTTTAGAACTTTTTTACACAAACTTAACCCAGTAATTTTTGTCTAAATCTTACAATTAATTTTCAGAACTCGTGCTTCTCAAGTTCAAACCGCGGTATTGCCGGATTCGACATAATAAAGACGACGCTAGGGGGAAAAGGGCAGAAACTAGGAAAGCTTAAGTGGAGAGGAGTGACCACCTCTCCATAGCGGCTTTTCTCGTGCACGCCCTTTTCCTTCGTGCACTGTCTCTCTTGTGTTGTACCTGACTACGTAGGCCACTGTGCAGCACCATCTTGCCATTAAACGCACTAGGGAAAACGCAGCGAAGCCACCGGTCTTCAAACCCTAGGGCGCCCTAGTGTTTAAAGACTGCTGGCTTCGCTGCGTTTCCATAGGAGTTCAGCCTTTTTCTTTCTCTACTTCTTCCTCAAGCAAGTTCGCTCTTTGCAAATTTTACAAAACAAATTCACACTCTGTGGAAAACGCTGCACAAAATGGTAGCGCGATAGGTTAAGACAACGAATTTCGCGGTCGATTTAAAGGGCCTGGCGGCTTTTTGAGACACCCTGTAGGACCCATCGCTACCAACGCTCTCAAACCGATAGAGTCAATCAATCAGCGCCAAAAGTGCTACATCGCGGCGCTCGTCACATCTGTGCAATTTCTATTACCGGCTAAACCAATCATGCAGAGCAATCGCGCCGGAATCCTGCGTTTTTTTTTTGTTTGATTGATTCGTTTAGTCGGTGGTACCACATGAACAAAACCGACGCACGATGCACTTTTGGTGCTGCTTGATTCTCTCGATCGGGTCGTAGCCTCGGCTGCTATCGAACTTAAAACGAGGTATAGTGGTGTGGATTGGAGACACATTTTGAGTACGCATCCGTTGAAGGATGATGAGAGTCGAACATGTCTTATGAAATGGTTGCAGGTTCCGATCTTGAATACGCAACTTTTTTTATCACGTAATCCCCGGTTTTTCGGCACATATTTGAATTGTAAGCAGACACTGTTCACTTAAGCGCTGCTTGTATTGAGTAGTACGACGTATCGAAATACTCTTGGTTTAATATAAATACAACTCACCTGCTGCAATGACCACCTGAAGGAAAATAAATCATTGGTTAGGTCACTTCCGTTGTATTTGGGTGAATAAACAGCGATAATAAAGGGAACAAGCACGCGAAATCGTATTGATTCAAATACAGGGGTTTATGTGAATATGAGGTTTTTTATGTAAATCAAATAGAAAGCAAATATCTGATTTGTTGCACTTCCAGCACCACCAGTGGAATGTCGGGAACAACTCTAATGTTTATAGAAATTTCCGAAAGTGAAACAAACGACGAACATAAAGATTTAAAAGGACTCCCAGTTAATACTTACTCCGTTACAAAATATTAACCAACCGTTGTTCTAACTTCTAATATACTTTGCCTCCCCGCTCAATGCTGTGATTCACTTTCTGAATTTTGTTTTTAAATTTTATCGAGCGTTTAAAAACACGAACTTATTTTGATTTGATTTAGTAATTGCAAACTGATGAGTTATAAACAAATCGTTAAAAAGGAAGTATGTGACCCTGTCTGGAAACCTCAGAAAATTTTACAGACAAAACACAAAAATAAAAAGTAATTACTGAACTACTTTTTGAAATAATACGAATTACTTTTTAATTACAGCTGAGCCGTAAAAACTGTTCACCAAAACGCGGAGTTCGAAACAGCTAGCGTCAAAACATAATGACACTCGCTAAGTTTTCATAAACTGAAAGGCCACAAAAAAGCCTTTTAAGATATAATTTTTTACTTCTTTTTACACATATTTACTCTTATTTACTAAATGCTGTGACCAGGTGCTACTGTCCCGTCAAAATGTTAACTTCTTTTGCCCTAGCTCCTCAGACATTTTCCGTCTTAAATATAAAATTCATCCATTCATTGTTTTGTCCCACTTAGGGCATCACAGCAGGAAGAGTTGAAAATGAAGACAGATTTCAAGATTAAGTACCTGAAAAGTTGAAAGTTGCCATGGTTAATATGTTAAAGAAATAGTGAAGGTAAACAGGTTCCAGTCTCTTGCAGTAAGAACAAAAATAATAAGTGATAGTGAAGAAATTTTTAAATCAGAACGGATCGTCTCGTTTCGGAGACAGATATAGTGTGGCGTCACCAGGAAATTCTTGTGAATTCTTGTAATGTCCTTGAAAACGACATAGAACAATTTTAGCCTAAGGTTGTTTTTTTTTTTTTTGGGGGGGGGGGGGGGGGGGCAGGCATTAATGTCCAGATTAGTTCGTCTCATTTTCCGATAAAAAAAAAAACATGTATAACGTTTCCCAACTGCCCCAACTAGCTATCTTACCATAATTTGTTCCAAGTTCAGTATTTTCTAAAAACAGGATTCATAGATAAAAACATTTTTATGGCCATTTGGCGCTTTCATTGTAGTTTCCAAAAGCATGTACAAATCGCCCTTGTTGTGCGAAGGGCATATTAACCTCACGAAACAGCCAGACTCGCAACCTGTAACCATCGGCCAAATCTCAAAATCTCTCTTCGTTAACTTTGGATTAAAAAACGAAAGACGCTTACCGTTCCCTGCAATGCCGAATTAGAGCGCAGATCTTGAGGAGGAAGAGGGGAGGGTAAGGAAAGAAGGGTATGCCCCTCCTTGTCCTCCACACCCTCTCCTCCCCCTCCCGCTCCTCCATCCTCTTTCTCCCTTCCTCCTACCCATCCTCCTCACCCTCTCTCCTTCCTCCCTCGTGACATCACTCGTGACATCAATCGTGACGTCTCTCGCGAAGGCCTCGTGAAGGTCGTGACCTTCTCGTGACGTTCACTGCGATAGTCGTGACCTTCATCGTGACCTTCACGAGTGACCTTCGGGGGTCACTCGTGACCCCAGTGGCCCTCATGACGTCACTCGTAACCGCGCGTCGCATTGTGGGACGTTTATTAGAATGACGTCACAGGTAGCGTCAAGCCGGAAACGGGCGCCTAAGAGCTGTGCTATAACAAAATGAAAGACGTTTACAACTCCCTGTAATATCGAACTAGAGTGCAGCTCTGAGGAGGAGGAGGTAAGTGTATGGAGGGGAGGGTATGCCCCTCCTCCCCTTCCCTCCTCCTCTCCTACTCCCCTCCCATTTAGCGGGAAATGTTTGCTGCATTTTCCGCTAAATCTAGTGGAAAAGTTTTCCGCTAAGTTTAGCGGGAAGTTCTCCCACTAAATTTAGCCGGGAAATATTTCAGCTAAATTTAGGGGAACATTTTTTCCGCTACCCGGGGAATTTTTTAGCTAAATTTGGCGTGGAATATTTTCCTCTATATTTAGCCGAGTATTTTTCCGCTAAATTTAGCGGGGAAACTTTCCGCTATACTTAGCGGGAAAAGGTTTCCGCTAAACATAGCGGGAAAGATTTTCTGCTTAGTTTAACGGGGGAATTTTTTTCGCTGAATTTATCGGGGAAATATTTCCGCTAAATCTAGCGGTAAATATTTCCACTAAATTTAGCAGGTGAATTTTCTGCTAAATATAGCAGGGAATGTTTTCTGCTATATTTAGTAGGGAAATTTTTCCGCTAAATATAGGGAGCAATTTTTCTGCTAAATATTCTGATAAATTTAGCGGGAAATGTTTTCGTAAGTTTAGCAGGAAAAGTTTTCCGCTAAATCTAGCCGGGAAATTTCCCCCGATACATTTAACGGGGAATCTTTTCTGGTAATTTATCAGGGAGTATTTTCCGCTAAATATACGGGTACAATTTTTTCCACTAATTTTAGCACGGAATGTTTTTCGCTACATTTAGCATGTGTTAAAGGGACAGAGCCAGAACAGGCAGATAGTGTTGGGGTTACGTAAGCTGAGAGAAGTCTCCGAGACTGTGCATGTGCAAATATGCACCTTCCCAGAGGTCTGGGGACAGTCTTGGCAGATAGAGAAGCGGGTGGTGGAAGCTAACCGGGTGATAAGGGGGTTGAGCCGACGATTTGGGTACGGAGTAATGGAAGTAAACAGGGTGGTGTGCGAGGCTCGCTCCGGCCCTTTTACATGGGGCATCAACTACAGAGGAGCCACTGGTAGCACAGTAGGCGATAGAATTGGACGTCACATCGTAAGTTTTTTTTTTTTTTTTTTTTTTTGGGGGGGGGGGGGGGGGGTGAGGGGGGGTGTCCCGGAGCCCTGAGGGCGCCGGTGTAAATGAGTGTTAAAATGTAGATACAGGGGGAGGGTTTGGGAAGGGGAGAGGAAGCCTCGCAGGACTAGGGAAAAGAAACAGCTTAACATTTAGGGTTCATAAACATGCAGGGAAGCAGGAACAGAGTAAAGTAGGAGGAGGTCGAGGAGCAATTAGAAAGCAAAAACTTTGCAGTGTATGAATTAGCAGAAACACATCTGAGGGATATGGAAGAACCACCATACGTACCAGGATATCATTGGATGGGATGTAACCGGGTCAATGGGGAACGCAATGGAGGTGGATTAGGAGTTTTAGTGAAGGGTCAGGAATGGGAAAGGGAGCGAGAGGGCTGCAGGGAACACATGTGGGTCAAAGGCGATATGGGGGTTTAGACACAATTCTGGGCTTTGCGTATCTAAAAACGGGGAGTGATGCAGGGGAGGAAAATGCAGAACACTTGACATGTATATCAGGAGACGTTAAGGAAATTGGCACTAACAAGGAAATAATTATCTTGGGGGACATGAATGCACACTTGGAAGACTTTGATAGACATACGGATACAACAGGGAGGATTTTAGAGGAGTTCTGCGAAGCTCTTGATCTGGTATTGGTTAACGCTCAGGTAAAATGTGATGGAAAAATAACATGGGAAAGAAAGAACTCGCACTCGACTATTGAGTACTGTTTAATGTCGCGTAAGATATACAACAGGTATGAAAATAGATGAAGGCACAAAAAGTCTGGGGAGCGACCATAAGAGAATCGAGATCAGATTTGGCACAGTAAAACCAGAAACGCAGAATCAAAACATGAGGCCAGGAATAATTTAAATGATAAACAACTACAGGAGGTATCTAAGCGAATCGAAAACAAAGTATCCAAGCAACCGGAAAGAGAATGGACATATGAAGAATTAATTAGTGTTTTCTAAAGAGAGAAATATCGAATCATACAAGGAGGAAGAAAACTAAAACGCAAGCTCAAAAGCTGGTGGGATAAAGTGCTTACGGCAGCAATATCGAGACGCCAAGCGCCATCGAAAGAACACAGATGGGCAAAGAAAAAGGGGCCACACTAGCCAAAGTAGCATCAAAATGGGAGGAATTTCAGGAAAGAAAGCGGGAGGCATCAGCATTAATACCGGCCAAAATTGGGAGGGCAGGGGTCCAGTAGATGATAGAGATAAACCAAAAGGGTAGGAATGCGGCAAAAAGGGTCTGGGAACACATCAGTGCACAGGGAAAAAGGACCGAGGGGTACCAGCAGACACTAACCACACAGGAAGGGACAAAGGTAGATGGGTAAGAGGCAAGAGAATACATTAGACATACAATTGAAGCAGCACTTTCGGAGTTAGAATCAGATCAGGCCGTTGGACATGGTAGCGTCTACACAACACAAGAGAAGGATCATAGTGAAGAAAAGGAAGTGACGACTGGGGAGTGAGAAAAAGCAGAAGGAAAGGTTCCGGCCGGAACTGCGACCGGTCCAGACGGCATACGAATGAGATTGATAAAAGTTATAGGCAAAACAAGCAAATTCAAACTAAGGCAGGTGATTGACCAGATACTTATGGGAGGGGAGGTACCCAGTGACTGGAAATTGAGCAGGATGCGATTAATATATAAGGGCAGGGGAGACAAAGACAGTATGAAATCATACCGACCATTCACAGTAACTTCAGTAATATACAGACCAGCTATGCAAATTGTAAAAAAGAAGAATGGAAGACTGGGCAGAGAGAAAGCAGATTCTGGGAGAGCTTCAAACCGGTTTCAAGAAAGGTAGACGACTAGATGATAATTTATTCGTAATCGCTCAGTTCATCGAAATAGCAATGACAAGTCAAAGGCCAATATGGGTAGCGTTTTTAGACATCAAAGGGGCATATGACAATGTGAATCAGAAAACATTTTGGAACCAACTGAAGGAATATGGACTAGATGGAACCATTGTTAAGTTTATAGAACAGGTTTATACGAAGAATAGGGTGGTTATAACATGGGAAGCCAAAACTACAAGACTAGCAGCATTAAAAAGAGGTCTTAGACAGGGTTGCCCATTGTCTCCCTTGCTCTTTATGATATACCTGAGTGAGATGGAAAAAAAAAAGTTAGAACAGTGCAACCTAGGTTTTGACCTGACTTAAATAAAGGAAGGACATAAAGTAAATCAAGTATTGCCAGGGTTAATGTATGCAGACAACATCGTACGCGTATCAGAAAGTCGCGATACAATACATGAACTGATTAGGATTTGCAGCAGGGAAGGGGACAATTTAGGACTAAAATTTAGTAGACAAGTCGGGTACACTCTAAAAAAAGTCTGTGCGTCTACTTTCAGGCGCTACACTCGGAGAACCAATCAGCGCAACTTACGGAGGCAACTCAGCGAATGACGATGCCGAAACATCTGTTTAGACCAAAAAACGCAGACTGAGTTGTGACATTAAGCAATGCAAGTGGGACGTTTTGAATTGATTAATGTCACAACTCAGACTGCGTTTTTGGTCTAAACATATGTTTCCGCATCGTCATTCGCTGAGCTGCCTCCATAAGTTGTGCTGATTGGCTCTTTGAGTGTTATGCGTGAAAGTAGACGCACAGGTTTTTTTAGAGTATATAATAGTTTTCAACGACGAGAAAGGGTAACCCCTGGGGATACAGGACACATTGATAGAACACGTAGAAAAATACAAATATCTGAGAGTATGGTTAAGTGAAGGAAGACGGTATCTGAAAGACCATGAAGATATTGTAATAAAGGAGGGGAAACGAGATTCACCTATCATCAAACACAGTGCACTATGGGACTGTAATAGATATGAAGTCGTTAGGGGTGCA